GAGCAAGTTAGCCCACGTACCGTGTAGGCCTATGTAAGATGGGACCTCTGCGATGGGGAATCTGCTCGGCTGGGAAAATCTCCCAAGATTTCTGCCATGCCATTTGTGATCTAGAAAACCACACGATTCAAGCGATTGCAGCAAGGTGTGAGGAGGATGCCCAGAAGTTAGGAGGCAAAATAGGAGCAGAAACGACCTACGAAGGTTACAACTCGCTCGCCACTGATCCAAATGTTGGTAAGCATCGAACCTCCGACCTCTCGTACCCCGGTGCCGTAGGCGTGGAGATCTAGCACGGTGCCGATGTCTGACGTGGGTGCATGCTAGTATATAGTGTGTGTATGTGTGGGCGTTATTATCTGCAACTTTCTCAGAGACAACTCTTATCATACTTATATCAGTGGCGGATCCAGGGGGGGGGGGGGCGCCGAAACGGCCGCGGCCCCCCCTATTGGCGGCGCAAAAAAAGAGAGAAAAAAAAAGAAAGGAGAAGAGAAGAAAAAAAGGAGAAGAGAAAAGAAAGGAGAAGAGAAAAGAAAAGAGAAGAGAAAAGAAAGAAGAGAGAGAGAAAGAAAAAAAGAAGAAGATCCCCCCCCCCCCACCTCACTCCCACTCCAGGGTCGGAGGGACAGATTTTGTGTTCCCAAAATTTCTGATAAAGGGTTACTTTTCACGCAACAAAGTCCGGCCCGTAATACACACAAATCCGGCCCGCACTGACTCTACACACCGAAGATAAAGGGGTGCTTTCAAACTAAGGCCATGTAAACTTGATTTCATGTTGATCGTCCCCGCCGGCTTCCTTTTTTCCGCCCGCCTCCTTATATTTGATATTTGATATATATTTGATATATATATATATATATATATATATATATATATTTTTTTTTTTTTTTTAAATAAAAAAAAATAAAAAAAAATAATCGAGTACAACTTGTTTTAATTCTTTGTCAAAAATAAATATAGAGTTGAAATTTGATCTATATATATGTGTTCTCAGTGTTTTTCTTTTCAGGAAAGAGAGAGCATTGGATTTTGCCCTTAACATTTGATACAGTCAACAAATCTTGGTAGTGGTTTCTGGCATATACTCCCATTCTGGCACTCCTTTGGTAGGGTAAATGCAGCATAGCTGGATTTCGATTTATACATGTATGGGTCATCACCCTTGGTACTTTCAATGTTGGAGTGAGGATTTAATACTTGGCATTCAATATCATGACGTGATGGTAGTATGCATGTCACTTAGTTGGCGTCCTCTGCTTGAGGCAGCTTCCTGTAGTGCAGACTTGGATAGACCAAAGCTAGCCTGTAGGTACGCCTTCAAGGCTTCCAATGAAAATGTTAAATATCATGTCATTCATGTAGATCTACATAAATGTTAAAACAACAATTACAAAATCAAAACAAAAATGACAATATATTTACACTTTACATATTTAAAATAAAGGCAATATTTAATATTTAAAAATAGACCAAAAAAAACCTGTTGAAGAAAGCCAAAATTGATAATTTTAGGGCAAATCAAACTCACTACAGCAACGTTGGTTGATGAACATATTCAATTATATACTATTTGTACACGCGGCAGCCATCTAGGGAAAAATATCAAATATCAAATAACATGGTACACCCTCCTCCTCTTTTTCAAAAAATCCGGACGATCAACATGTAATCAATTTTACATGGCCTAAGAGAGGGAACATACATGCGCATACCCTAGATAACACTGAGTGGGTGAGGGGGGGGGGGTGGGAAGGGGAAGAGAAAAGTCGGGTGAGAAAGGGGGAAAGACAAGGAAATGGCGCTAAGTGACAGTAACGATGAATAAGGGAAAAACTGTAATCGGGAGATTTGGGGTCATTCCAGAAGGCTTGGGAAACGTTATTGAATAGAGGGGGCCGGGCCGGCCGCATTAAATCTCGAGCCACGGATTCAAAGTTAAACGTTACAAACAGCCCCTGCTTTTTGAAAAAAATTGAAAAGGGCACAATGTTTTGGATGTCTTTCAAATAGAAGCTATATACTAAACAGTAAAATTTTAAATTCATTTGGATTCAGCTCATACCAACTCGCTTGTGCTTATATTTGAACTCATGTAGGTAGTGATAATGGACAGCGGTGGCGATCCTGGGCCCGATAGAGAGACACGTCCCCCCGGAAATTTAGATATATAGCTAGAAAGAAATATACATGTAGCGGAAAGAACGTACATATTGGACAATGCATAATTTCAGCATTCTACATTGCAAAATCTCGCTTGGTCGCTCTGCTACGGCCCTCGCCCAATAACACAAAACTAAGATATGACGCTCCCGGTCGCGATTATTTCATGGTTTGTGTACATACATAGATCTTTTTTCCCCTTTCATTTCTACTGACCTAATTGTATGCTATCACAATCATGATTGTTTCATTTTCCCTTTAAAGCATGCGTAGCTAGGGGCGGTAGGGGCAGTAAGATGACATAGGATGAAAAAAGGAGCAGACAAAGAAACATTTTTGACAAGTCTAAAACGGGACAACAAATCATCTTCTTTCTCTAATAATTTAATGAAACGTTAAGCTTCTGCGCTATGCGCTGGAGGGGAAAACTGAATGCAGAGAAGGATTAAGAGTCGGGAATGGAACAACGAATTATCTTCTTTCTCTCATAATTTCATTAAACTATGAAAGGTCAGAGCTTCCGCGCCTTGTGCGGAAGGTGGAAAATGAATTCAAACAAGGATAAAGAATCGAGAATGAGACAACGAATCATCTTCTTTCTCTCATAATTTAATGAAGCGTCAGAAGCTTACGCGCTACGCGCGGGAGGAGGAAAACTAAATTCAGACAAGGATTTAGATTAGAGAATGAAACAACGAATCATCTTCTTTCTCTAATAATTCAATGAAACGTCAAAGCTTTCTCGCTTCGCGTGGGAGAGGGGGGGGGGGGTGGAACTCAATTCAGACAAGGATTAAAGAGTCGAGAACGGTACTCTTTCTCTAATGATTTCATGGAACATCAAAGCTTGCGCGGGAGGGGGTATGGAAACTGAATTCAGACAATGATTAAGAATCGAGAACGGTACAACGAGTTGTCTTCTTTCTCTAATAATTTAATGAAACGTTAAGCTTCTGTGCTTTGCGCTGGGGGGGGGGGGGTAATCTGAATTCAGAGAAGGATTGAGGGTCGAGAATGGAACAACAAATTATCTTCTTTCTCTAATAATTTCATTAAACTATGAAAGGTAAAAGCTTCCGCGCTTCCCGCGGGAGGGGGGAACTGAATTCACACAAGGAATAAGAGTCGAGAAGGGTACAACAAATCATCTTCTTTCTCTAATAATTTAATGAAACGTCAAAGCTTCTGCGCTTCGTGCGAGAGAGAGAGGGGGAACTCAATTCAGACAAGGATTAAGAGTCGAGAACGGTACTCTTTCTCTAATGATTTAATGAAACGTCAAAGCTTCGCGCGGGAGGGGGTATGGAAACTGAATTCAGACAATGATTAAGAATCGAGAACGGTACAACGAATCGTCTTCTTTCTCTAATAATTTAATGAAACGTTAAACTTTTGCGCTTCATGCGGGAGAGGGGGGAACTCAATTCAGACAAGGATTAAGGGTCAAGAACGGTACTCTTCTTTAATGATTTAATGAAACGTCAAAGCTTCCGCGCTTCGCGCGGGAGGGGTATGAAAACTGAATTCAGACAATGATTAACAACCGAGAACGGTACAACGAATCCTCTACTTTCTCTAATAATTTCATGAACATTAAAGCTTCTGCGCTTCGCGCGTAATGGGGGAGGGGGGAGGGGGGGGGGGGAGGGGACAGCGAGCTGCCCGAATATGAATTTGTTGTATCTTTTCTCGTATATTTTGGTGATAAATAACACTTTCACAAAATACATATTATCCTCAAATTTTTGCTCGCTCGCTTCGCTCACTAGCCGAATTGTGAAACCAGAAAATTACTTTTTCGGGCAAGAGGCTTCAGCCCCCCCCCCCCCCGATGAAAATGTCAAAAAAAATTACCGGTATGGTGCTTCTAATATGACCTTGTCAGTATTGGTATGTTGAGTTGAAAAACTGTCTGCGCAATTTTCAAATTTCCGGCCCCCCCTATTGGAAAATCCTGGATCCGCGCCTGCTTATATGGCTGTGAGGTGTGGGTTTTTAGAGTTTTAGTCAGATAGATATTTTTTATCGCAATACTGAATGTCAATAAATATACACCTGACTGTATGATTTACGGTGAGACCATACGCATTAGCAGCATGGACTCTCTTAGACCGAATTTTCCGTCTCTTTCGTTCGTTAAGCCTCTTATTTGGGTAGGGTCGGCTCTCTCTTGACCCTACCCAAATAAGAGGCTTAACGAACGAAAGAGTAGGAAAATTTGGGCTAGGACTCTCTATGCTTTGCTGGAGTGGGTGAGACAGGCTATACTACAGTAACATTTATGTTCAGGTTTTAATGTTAAATAAATGAAGAAACAAGTAGATCTAGAATGCGAATGGTTATAAGTTATTGTAAATTTTCATTCAGATTCTATAATCTTTTGAAATTACTTATGGAGAGTGGTACCCAGTGTCCCAGTCTCAATTATCTAAATGGTTGTCATGTGTAGAAAATACATTAAATAATGCTGGGCTAGGAAATGTGTGGCAATTAAAGGCAAGGGGGTTGATTCAGTAACATGGACTTTTCATGCTCTTAAGCTCGGGCTGACTGACATGTCAAAGCAAGAAATATTGTCAAATGTTTGGTCAAATTGCATTTGTGTTAACTACCAAATGATCAAGAACAAACTTTTACTTAAAATTATTTGGTAAAGTTGAGTAGAACTTGAGAGATGCACTCACTTTGTGTCGAACTTGATTCCGATGCAGGTCACACTGGTGAACAATCTCCTCATGCACTTAGATGTACATCATTATTTTTATTTAATTTGTAATATATAGTATGAAATCAATCTCATATTGTCATCAAATATGATACCATATTATGACATCATATAATGTATATTATGATGTCACTCATTACCACATATTCTTTTTTGTTCTATTGCTTCTTTTGCAGATATTGTATACATTGGGTCTGTTAACACTGCACACTTTGCCTTATGCAGGCTGTTCTTGGAAGCCAAGAAACATGTCCTGTGTGAAAAGCCTCTAGGACTACATGCTAAAGAAGTAGGTCAAATGATTGACCTTGCGAGGAAGAGCGGTGTATTCTTCATGGAGGTAAATAATAACCCACTTTTTACCACTACACGGAGTCACCCATAAGTAGGGCTGGGTCAATAAACCATTTCTTAATGTACTAGTAAAACATTTCAAACCAAACTTATGTATATTAAGTTACTACCGGTAGTTAGGAAGTAGTATCTTAGTAGTAGTAGGAGCAAATGCTCCTCCCCCTAGGCCCCCCTCCCCACAGAAAAATGGAGAAAAACAATTGAAAAATAAAGAATGACTCTTTTTTACTTAGTAACTCTGCATTTTACTTTAATATTTAAACTTGACAATTTGATGCTATAACAAGATGATAAGTTTTCTTTCATCCAAATGTATCTTTTGTTTGGTCCCTTGCAGAACACTTGATTTTACAAGCGTTTGATTTTATGCTTCACCACAACAAATTCTGATGCTCCCCTCCCCTCTCACTGAAAAAATCCTGGCTACTCCTCTGTAGTGCATTTTTATGAAACGTGAATCGTGAAAAGACTAGTTGACACACCCAAACACGCTCGCATATCATGCTTGGAACCTAAATCCAACTTGGGTTCCATGCGCCATATGTTTTATGTTATTCGTACTTCTGGAGGGTGTTTCACAAAGATCCTAAGTTGGACTTAAAGGTACTATGTCCCATTTGCAGGCCAAAAAAAAATGAAAAAGTTAAATTCCAACTGCATTTGAAAGATAATACTAATTTAGAACTTCCCTAAAAAAGGTGGGGTTTGAAAATGTCTTCAAGTGGGAAAATAACGACTATTAGTTGTCAAATCGACTTTAGGGCTATAGAGCCCAAAAGTAATAATCTTGATTTTCAGACAATTGTACCGAATGGTCATACGTTTTATGCTGCGCAAAGATTCAATTAGTTTTAATCTTGGCCATCACAAGAAGTGGGTTATTGATGTAGACAAATGCTCATGTACCCTTTACAACTATTTTCATGTATAATAATAATAATAATATTTAATTTTTATATAGCGCTTAATACAAGAAGAAAAAATGCCAGTCAGTCACTCAATAGTGTCTGACAGTGAAGTCTAGCAAGTAAACAGGTTTCCTTGCATAATTTGAATATGAGGACACTGCTAACGTTTAAATTTCACAGATAGGACAAACATGACATATTCATAATTCCTGCCAAGTTCTACAGAATTTGAGGTTGGCTGCAAAAGGGGCATAGTACCTTTAACAATTATGGAATGCCGTTGGCATCTATGAAAATATTTTGTAAAAGTTATTTGAAAAGGCATAAAATGTTGATTCACATAATTAATATTTTCTATTACCAACAGGGATTTCATGTTCTTGATGTTGAGTTTGTAAAAAGTCTAAAATACTTGAAATTTCGCTTTTGAATATATTTTATGTTAAGGCTTCAAATAGCTCTCCATATTGTTTAAGTCTAACTTAGAGTTAAGTTCAACTTAGGATCTTTGCGAAACACCCCATTGAACCTTTACTATATAATGCCATGTAAAGTTTCTTGCTGTTGATCACCTTATTTTGTACATTCTAGGTGTACGCAAGTTACTTTTTTTTAAGGTTATATATTTTAAGTCTATTTCTTCTTTTTATTTTAGGGTATATGGAGCCGGTTCTTCCCAGCTTATGAGAAGGTGAGGTCCATCGTATCTACTGGAGAGATTGGAGATGTGAAGTTCATCACAGGAGATTTCTGCATTAATGCAGTAGGGGGAGGAAGATGTTACGATAAAAGTAAGGAACAGGAACATGTGAGGTTGGAACAATGTTTTGTGCTCGCAAATCTACAGGGCCATTAAAGGAAAACTTTTTTCAGTCACTACGTAGTTACCTTGGGTAGAAAGGCAATAAAGTAAATGAATCAATGAATGAATGAATCAATCAATCAATGGGTAAATTAATAGAAAAATAAATAAATTAATAAAAATATTTAAAAAAATATATATAGATAAATGATTAAATGAATAAATGAATAAATGAATAAATGAATAATGAATAAATGAATAAATGAATAAATAAATAAATTACTGAATTAATGAATTATGTGCGGAGAAGAACGTCCTCTGTGAAGTATCTTCTATTCATTTTGTAAACAATGCCACACTTGACGAACAAAAGGTATTCATGAAGCACATTTAGGACTTTGGCAGTTATTATTCTGAGATGCTCAAAGTGGAACTTCTCCATATGTAAAAGATTTGTGGATATTTGGGGTCATTTGTACCATGTGCTATCTGTAAACTCCCTTATTCATATCCGTCTTGTATTCATACAGGTTTAGGTGGTGGGGCTATATACGATATTGGGATCTACCTGGTCCAGCTGGTCACCATGGTATTTGGTCCAGACCCTATCCTGGTCCAAGGGGTTGGAGGTCTGTCCGAGTCTGGTAAGAAGCCTAGCCAAGTATAGTGCGGTATGGTATGCAATCGAAATCCTGTAGGATTTTTGTGCCAAAGTTGATTTTTTTTGCTGTATTGGCTTCAAAAGGATCCCAATTGGCCAAAAATGATGGGGTCCAAATTTTCAGACCCCTCCTTCATTTCCTGGGGGGGGGGGGGGGGGGGTCCATATTGGGCGCTAAAATGGCTTATATAACGGGCAAAAGGGGAAATTTGGTGTCTTCAGGAAAATTTGAACACCCATCAATTTCTGATAGCCTGGACCCCAATGAATCCAAAAATGAAAAAAAAAAAAAAAAAAAAATCAACTTTGGCACAAAAATCCTACAGGAGCTGTTGCAGTGACATACCGTACCACACTAGTACCCTTGTATCTGTTAAAACCTAGAATATTTAGGCACTTCCAAGGTGATTTGTACCTGGCATTACTGATCCCACCTAAGTTATTAATATGTCTATGGATTGTTTAGCAAATAGCAGTCAAGTTTGTCCCTTTATAGATGTTCTTGGATGATCTCTTGATTCAGAATGCCAAGAATGACATAATTACACATGAATGTGAAGGGCAAAATTCACAGAAAATGTTGAATCCATTTGTAATGCAAAACATCGGCCATTGTTGAATAAAAACTAGTTACTGGTAAATAATCAAGTCTCTAAATTTGCAATGTGGTGAAAACTTTATTATAATAACTTTTTCCTGTACATAATAGGCTTTTTGAAAGCAATTTGTAGCTGAATTTAGAAATGTTATTCACAGTGGTTCATGTAATATACATATGAAGAAAAAACACTATGTAGCAATGGCAAATAAGAATAAATGGTACCAATTATTTTCCTATAGAAATTGTTTTCCATTTGTCATAATGTTACACATGTATCCAATTCAGGCCTGATAATTACCCGATTTTATAGGTTTCCTGATTTTTTTCAGATTTTTATTTTCCGATATTTTTTTTTCCTGATTTGTTTAACTTTATTTAATTTTAATTTGTTTAACTGATTTTTTTCTTCTCCCCGATTTTATCCCTATTTTCCCCTTATTTTGTCTATTCTTCCCTATTACCCTGATCCAATTAAACCCCTCTAGAAAAGGATTTACAGGGGACAAGAAAATGTTTGTAGATATTCACTAATAAAACTTGTCCATTTTAATTTTTCTTTCCCGCCAGGTGTTGATGAGATTTGCAGCATGACATTACAGTATCCTAATAATAAGGTTGCCAATCTGATGAGCTCGATCGGTCTTTTCAGCAATAACGAGGCAACTATCGTCGGCACCAAGGGCAGAATAAATGTGAGTTGTAAGCACTTGTAGTTTTTAATGTAAATGTAAATATTTAACAACACTGTTTGAGATGTTACCAAAAACATGTGTGTCAGAATCACATGATGAATTATCTGTCATGTGGATTAAATCCCCGCCCCCCCCCCCCACTCAGTGTTATTTAGGGTACGCATATGCGTAAAGTCAATTTTGTGTATGTACGAGCCAGACTTTGGTGCGTGAAAAGTACCCCTTTACCAGACATTTTGGTAACACGCATGCGGTCATTCCGACCCCTGAGTGGGGGGGGGGGGGCCGGGCCGGGATTAGATCGACCATTAAAATATACAGGGTTTCATGTGATCTTTAATATTTTCAATACTCCTTAACTGTAAATCAATAGAATGCCAGGGGAACTTTTTAAAGTTGATTTTTATACATGCTACCTACTATTTTTTTTAGATGATTTAGTAGTAAATTACTTTAAAAGAAACCAGAAAAATCAGAGAAGAAGTGTTGTGAAAGTTTGAACAAAATCAGACAAAAAATGAGAATATTTCAAATTTTTGAATGTTTCAATCACTGTACCGTATGTGCCTATGGGAATTTCCTATTGACCAAATCAGTAATGTCACTGTGATGTAGTGCCCTCAAGTTTCCCCATTTGTTCCAACCCACAAAATGACTAAAATGTCAATTTTTCAGAATGTTTTACTCAGGAGAGACCTGTAACAGACCTGCCAACCAGTACGATTTTTAGAAGCAAATACGACAGTACGATTTTCTTCAATAAAATACGATTTTCAAAAAAAAAAAATAACAACAAAAAAGCGAAAATTTGAATTTAAATTTGTTCATTTATTTATTAATTTTCAATAGCAAAATGCCCATTCTGTCCTGTAAAGTATCCTTAAAACATCTCACATAGGCAATTCGGGGATGTTTATTGGTTCATCGAACACACCAGTCGCGACGAAATAATGCATATTCAACCAATAATCCATTTAAAAAAAAATCTTCCTGTATGTAGGAACTGCAAGAGGCATTGATCCGCGTAACAGTCCGTGGTTATTTTTTAAGAATACAACTTTTGTCAGTAAAATACAACTTTTGGGATTAAAGAATACAGTTTTTGATCTCCAGAGGTTGGCAGGTTTGCTGTAAAGATATGCTAATTTTAGAAGTGCCCCAGGGGAGAAAATCAGAAATTTATGATAATTTTGTACAGGAAAAACAGGAGTGTTGTCCATGATTGTGTCGCAATCCACTGACCAAATTGCCAATTTGAGATTTGTAAAGATTTGGTGATATCAATGTTTCAACATGTATAACTTTCTTAGCATTCGGCCAATTTATTTTGAAATTTTCGCCATCCCCCCTCCCCTTTTCCTGGTTTCATACAAATTCATTTACAAAGGTTGGGTTGCAGTTTGAGAATAGACATTGAATAGACATTTAACATAGAGGTGTTGTGGTCTAGTGGATAGGTGGTTGAACTGAGAATCACAGGGTCTGTGGTTTGAGTCCCGCCACGGCTCTAATGTCCTTTGGCAAGATATTAATCTACATTTGCCAAGCTCCACCCAGGTGTTAAATGGGTACCGGTATGTAGAAATTCCTTTAATGCTGTAAACGCTGAAATCCACTGCCTAGCAGAGCCGGGGTAAAAGTTGGAGCGCCTTGAGCACCGTGCATGGATATGTGAGCTACATGTATATAAATATCCAAAAAAATAATTATTATTCTTTGTCATTTCTTTGAAAATTCAGCTTGGAAACAAATTCCATGTGGCCTGTCGTATTGAGCTAGTACGAGAATGCCCAGCACCAGGGTTTCTTGAGAGGGAAGTCTTTGAGTTCCCGTTGCCTCCCTGCCATCGCCCCTTCAATTACCACAACTCGGTGGGGCTGCGTTACCAAGCCGACGCTGTCAAACTAGCGATAGACGAGGGTCAGTCAGTTCAGGATGTTTTGAATAAATGTTGTATTTGTTAAAGCCCCACTGCTCCACTTTAGCTACTTGCATCCTCTATATAGCAAACAATGCCTAATCGGTGACCATTGTTTTCCCTTGGTCCCCTTTTTCTTATGTTTATTGAGAGCTGATTTGATGAGATAGCCACCTGTCAGTGACCATGCAGGGAGGTCTAATCCCTTCTGACCAAACTAGTGCAGATGGGCTTTAAAAGAAATTTTGTGTGATGTTACAAAATTGGAATGGCTGTCGAGAAAATAAGATTTTAGATATTAGATCGTTTGATAGTGTTATGAGTCGAGTCCCGCCGCCGCACTAATGTCCTTTGGCAAGACATTGATCTACATTTGCCACACTCCACCCAGGTGAAGTAAATGGGTACCTGGTAGGAATTTATACCTTGAAATGCTAGAGCGCCGTATGGCAGCCGTGCTAAAGCCAGGGTAATAATCGGGAGCGCCAAGAGGGTCAAATCTGACCGACATGAGCGCTATATACAAGAACCCACTATTATTATTATATTATGAAAAGACATGACATTGCACTTAGAATATTCCTGTTTTGTCGTGAGTTGAGAGCTGGTCCAGGGATGAAAAGGAACTACAGATTTGAGGTCATCATGTGCCTAATTTTATGCAAATATTTTATGAAGATATCCTGGTGTATGTTGTTAGGTAATAAATCCTTTAATCCCCAACCTAAGAACATTTGACTGTTTGATGGTTACTTAGAAGTCAATGGCAGACAATGGAGCAAACAGAGTACATTGGACAAAAACTATTCACGGTCTTTTAAAATTCTTGATAACACTGTCATAGTAATATTTGTTATGCTATGATATGATAATGCAAACAAAAACACACAAACACACCCTAAAACTAATAGCCCCTCCCCCCCCCCCAAAAAAAAAAAAAAAAAAAAAAAAAAAAAACAGCAACATTAACTTTGTTAAGATTTCAACTTTTAAAATGCAACATTCCAATAATGCATAACCAGGGATTGTTGTGTGGAATGAAACTTTGCAATTTGATAGTGGATGTTTTTGCGACAACTTTTGTTGTAATCACTTAAACTTTATGATGTGGTAATTCAGTCACTCAGGTCACTCTGCATAGAGAATGAAACTTTTGAGATTAGACCACTTGGGAAACTTCAGAAAGTATCATACTTGCACAAAATTAGGGTAAATATAGAAACCAACAGGAATATGCGGAGCAGGAGGTTAGTATAATTAGATATCAGTTCTACATGTATAACATATCCAAAGTTATTTACCTGTGGGAGTGTGGGGCGCAGTATGGGTGTCTAACTTCAAACACCATCCTCACATCATGTCACATGTGTACTGGAAAACTGACAGCTAGCTTCAGGCTAGTACATGTAGTACACATCTGAGAAAGGTGCCTGAACTTAGACACTGATACTGTCCCAAAGGTAAATAATATAGGATGTGTCAAAGTACTGATTTCTAATCAGAATCTGATTTTTAAAATATTTTTTATCCAGGTAAGACGGAGCATCCCCTCATCACATGGTCCGAGAGCTTAGCCATTCACAAGATCATGGATAAACTGAGACACGATGTGGGATATTACCGACCAGATGAGGAAACAGAAAACAAGATTTTGTGATTGCCATGACTATTTAAAGCCCCACTGCACTACTTGTAAATACTTGCTCCCTGTTTGATTCTGAGTGGGTAGATTCCACGGGCGTAATGTACTATCTAGACAGCAGAGATCGCAGTCGAAAGTCGGTGGAGAAGACGAGTGTTATAACTAATTTCTATCGAAAAAAAGGCTAAAATGGGTTATATTTACAACAAAGAATGTTGTAAAATTTGTTTAAATACAAGAAGCCTCCACTGACCAATATATGAAATAAACACTTAGCGTTGTTTGATTTGATGTTATTTTGTTGGTCAGTGTGAATTGAGCATGAATGATGACCAGCAATAGCGATTGCAATAATACTTACACATTGTGTTTATTTTCTTTTCTTTTTTTCATCTGTATAATTTTTTTCGTCAGTTTTATGTAATAAGCAACATTATCCTTTCTTTCCTTTTAGTTTATCATTATCTTATTCAAAGAACGTGCATGGAAAACATGGAAAACATGCAATGAACATATACAGCAAAAGCCATAGATTCCATGTAGTGGTTACAAGCTTTTGTTTATGTTTTGCGGACATGCTACTATCGCCTACGTCACATTATTTTCAGCGTTTTATTTGTTTTATTTGGTCGAGAAAATGAAAGATGAAAATTCATTTTTTTACGTCTTAATCAAGTATTTTTAAAATATGTTTTTTTTTTTTTTTTAGTTCCTGAGGTCTTAAGCTTTCCAATGATATATAGTTATATTTTTTATAGAATGGTTACTTTAAGAGTATATTATTGCATATTTTGTGGTTTTACAATCCTGAAATCATGCATATATTGATGACTGAAAAAATTAAGTTGGTATTTTATTTATTTATTTTTTAGGTATGAAAGTCTGCAATATTAATTAATGCCAATTATTATTATTATTATTTATTATTATTATTATAAGAAGATCTAATGCTTTATGTTGTCTTTGCAATGAAATAGTGTTGGAAAATGAGGAATAAATAAAATTATATTTTTAACCTACATCTTCTATAACTTCTTTCTGTGTTGTTTTAATTAGGTAGACTAAAGAAATACAAAAAAGTAGTAGTACATCATATTCATCGAAGAGAATGTGCACAGACTTCATGAAATCATGCAGTTCCCATTAGGCTTATAAAATGAAACTGAATAATATAATATGTCATCATATATGAAATTGGAATCTAAAAAAATGGCTGATACATTGATGGTATCCTGTTGTTTATTAATTCATTAGATAAAGACAAAGCTAATCTCTGAAAGTGTTTTCATGAAGTATGTTGTAAGAACTTGTTGACAGAAATACAAGAAAGGGAACGAAATTAAAATGATTGTTTTAAATTCTAAGAGAGTGAGAAAGAAAGAGACGAGGAGAGAAAGAGAGAGATAGAAGGAAAAAGGAGAGATAGAGAAGTAGTAGAGAAAATGAGAGGCATAGAAAAAGAAAGGAGAGAGAGAGAGAGAGAAAGAGATTAGCAGAGAAAAGGAGAGGGATACAGAAAGAGAGAATATGTCAGAAGAACCTGTACAGTACCTCAGTGTAAAGTGTCGACCCTGTCCGCCCCTCCCCCTCCCCCTCCCCCTCCCCCTCCCCCTCCCCCTCCCCACAAACACGCTGAAAAAAGTCATACACATAGGCCTACCGGTGAAGGCAACCCCCTTTTTACCCGCCAACATATTCTGCAATTTGGTTGTCTATTTTTAACCCCCGACAAATAATAAACATATTTTTATATTATTTTTCTCCACATATTTATGAATTCGAATTCAGCATTCGTGGCGGGTACTTTGAGACACATTTTATATTTGCAAGGCAAAAGTATTACGTAACGGGGGCCCCTCGGAGATCAGTGCCTGGGAGACACGTGCATGTGATAAGAATGTAAACAATGGGATTGGTCTCAACACCAGTCTTTCTATTTATTCAACTTATATTTACATATTATAATCATCCAGTTTAATCGATGAAAGCTGATGCTGATTGAATTTTCCGATGAAGATATTTCCAGGGTATTTTTTTCAGAAAAGGATAAGAAGGAAAAGTGAAAAGAGTGATATGACCATGCTCTATACAGTTTTGAGTTCCACAAATACTAAGAAAAAAATATCAAAGTTCTGGGAAAAGCCTAATTGGTCACATTGAGAATCTTGTACACGTGAGTTGCTGTAGTTTCATGATACTTCACAGCTGACAGTGACAGATCCTCAACATGAAAGTTCTTCGATGGGGTATTTGCACGGCAGGAAAAATCTCCCAAGATTTTTCCAATGCAATTTGTGACCTGAAGAACCATAAAATTCAGGCTATCGCGGCAAACCCGGACTTTAGTGCCCAGCTGAAAATCTCAGTTTATTATGGATTTAATATCAATAATATTAATTATGCTAATATATGCAAATATAAACATACCAAAACTTGATGATTTTTAATCATTTGACGTCATAAAAAGCAATTTTAAGCCAAAAATAGCAGCGAAGTAGGGGATCTCCTCTTTGCTTGATGCGAGATACTAGCGAACTGAAATAACCGAATAAAAACTATGGTGAACTAAAAAAAGAAAAGAAAAAATCAAACCACCTCTGAAATTACCTTTGAAATGTTTATTAATTTTTTCTTCCGATATGCGCACATGATAGGGGCAGGTTGGGATGGGATGGGGGGGGGGTGCTCAATAGTCGCCAAATTTGGGGTAAAAGGGCAACTGGCCTTGGGGGGGGGGCTAAATTTATTATTTACTTATTTTTCTTTGTAATCATGATTACAAAGAAAAATAAGTAAATAATAAATTTAGCCCCCCCCCCCAAGGCCAGTTGCCCTTTTACCCCAAATTTGGCGACTATTGAGCACCCCCCCCCCCATCCCATCCCAACCTGCCCCTATCATGTGCGCATATCGGAAGAAAAAATTAATAAACATTTCAAAGGTAATTTCAGAGGTGGTTTGATTTTTTCTTTTCTTTTTTTAGTTCACCATAGTTTTTATTCGGTTATTTCAGTTCGCTAGTATCTCGCATCAAGCAAAGAGGAGATCCCCTACTTCGCTGCTATTTTTGGCTTAAAATTGCTTTTTATGACGTCAAATGATTAAAAATCATCAAGTTTTGGTATGTTTATATTTGCATATATTAGCATAATTAATATTATTGATATTAAATCCATAATAAACTGAGATTTTCAGCTGGGCACTAAAGTCCGGGTTTGCCGCTATCGCTTCACGATCTTTGGAGAAGGCACAGGAATTAGCAGGAAAAGTTGGAGCCGAAACGACGTACGCAAGTTACGAGTCTCTCGCCGCTGACCCAAATGTCGGTTCGTATAACGCCCGGTATAAAGTCCATGGGATCGGATGACCACTGAAATTCTTACTTTTTCGTGGTCCGCGATTTCGCCCCACACAGTTAAAGCTTGTAAATGTTTATACTAAACATACAAAAACACTCATGACACATGTTTACAGTTGCAAAGTGTGCACCTCAAAGTCTAACATGATTAGTTTGTAGCAGAAAGTCAATTCAGCACAGCACATTTGTGTGTGCCTTGGAGATTCTTTGTGGTGTGCGTTCCTGTATGTTGTGTTCACAATAGTACATGTCTATATATTTGCATAGCACAGGTTGCATGATGAAACCTATGATTCTTTTATCATTTGATTATTTAGACTTGGAAGAATAGGGAGCTGGAGCTGATGAAGAATGGTTAAAACTTTTTAATGAGTGAACGACTCCTTGTTTCTAGCTATTTAGGGTGGCCTAATAACAGAGACTCTGTATAATGTAGTTTGCTACAGATACCTGTAGTGTAGTCTGCTAGTAATAATGATTGTGAATAGACACTTTAACTGCCTTTATTTATTAGCAAGCAGTAATGTGGAATATTAAGTATTTTGCAGTGTGTCTTGTATTGTTCAGGCAAGGACAGATTTTCAGTAAAGAACTCTTGAGCCGTACTATATACTAATGGGCTACATTACGAATACTTAAGATGTGGTATCTTATCCATGCAAGGTTTAACAAAATAAACGAGGATATCCCACAAAATACCCATGCCTATTTAAAAGTGACGGGAGAAATATGCAAGCCAATTACCAAACATTTGAAAATGGTGAAAAAGAGAGTACAGGTAACAAGAAAACTCTCTAAAATTTACTCGCCTATAAAATAAGATGTATACATATCAAGATCGATAATAGGGGTGAATGTCGTAGTTCATTGGCTTAGATGTAAACAAAGGAAATTGGTATCTGAAATGGAAGACGGTCTCTAAAAATCTTGACCGAAGTCTCCTATATCAAGCTCTGAAATCCTTTATTGGCTGTGCAGTGTGCACCTCTACTGATCAGAGGGGGCAGTCCTGGGGAGAGTGACTAGCCTACATCAAAACCAGGTTATCATTTATGTCAAATTTGTATCATGCTCTCCTGCAGACATTGTGTACATTGGGACCGTTAACATTGCCCACTTTCCTCTGTGTAAACTGTTCTTGGAAGCCAAGAAACATGTCCTGTGTGAAAAGCCTCTTGGAGTACATGCTAAAGAAGTAGGTCAAATGATTGACCTCGCGAGGAAGAGTGGTGTATTCTTCATGGAGGTAAATATATATCTGTGACGATGACAGAATAATGAAATAATATTAATGATAACAAATAATAATAATAATAACGTTTATAATAATGATAATGATAATAATAATGATAATGATAATAATAATGATATTATTAACATTGTATAAATGATAATACTGATAATAAGAAAAAGAATTATAGGAAATATAATGAAAATGACATAATAACAATAAAAATTGTGATGATGATTATAATTTCATTTTATTCTGAATTTATGTCATATAATTTTTTTTCTATTTTGAAAACAAATCTGCCTTTGTAAGAACATGTAGGTTAATAATAAAAATGAGTAGATCTATCTGCATGTATAAATGAAATGCTGTAATACGTCCCTTTCAGTTTGTCTCCTTTTATTTTGTTATGTAATATTTTTCATTTATCATGAAATGAAGAAGACTCTCAGGAAAACTACTCAATAAAATCATTTAAAAAAGTACTGATATAATGCAACACTTACAAGAAGGCTTACATTTCATATCTTTACTTTAGGGTATATGGAGTCGGTTCTTCCCTGCGTATGATAAGGTCAGGTCCCTCTTATCTAACGGAGAGATTGGAGATGTGAAGTTTATTACAGGAGATTTCTGCTACGATGGATTCAGCATTGGATCTTCCCATGATAAGAGTAAGTATGCATGCAGTCATTGGTCATCTTGCAGATTCTATTGTAACTGTGAGGGCGCCCTACAATGGTGTCCTACAGAGCCATCTATACACACAGAGTTTGGCCAACTTTGTTCGAATTGGACACAATATGACGACTACTGCTTAGTTGGGCAAGTACAAAACAAAAGAAAGACAAAAAAGCAGTGACTAATTGTAAGCAATCTGAAATAGGTATGTCTTTAGTTGAGATCTGAAAGTGGATAACTGGTGGCAAGAGCGAAGGACTTGGGGAAGACGAAAGGACATAGACAAGACATTTTTTACGTCAATCATTAATTTTTCCATTATTATTGGTATTAATCATATGAGACAGCAAATGAATACCTTTTATTTATTAATTTCATTTTTGGTACTAATGCAGGCCTAGGTGAAGGAGCTGTGTATGATATTGGGGTCTATCTGGTCCAGCTAGCTACCATGGTGTTTGGTCCAAACCCTATCTTGGTACAGGGGGTCGGAGGCTTGACCCAGACTGGTGAGTAAGATTGGTAAGATTTTATTGACTCTATCGACCCCCTCTCGGGGTACGAGAGTACAAACATATTTACAACATAGTATCAATATAACAATAGTATAACACTGATAAACATGTGATGATATGAACAATGATGAACATATTTACAACATAGTATCAATATAACAATAGTATAACAATGATAAGCATGTGAAGATATGAAGGAGGAGGCGCGATAGCTCAGTCGGTAGAGCAATGGTCCAGAAATTTCTGAATTCAGTTAGTGTATAGGTCTATAATAAGTAGGAAACATTTGTTACATGGGTGTATCGTTGAGCCATCATGTCACCTTTAGAGGAGCACACATATTGACATTTTATTCCTGCTTCTATTGTGTCATCAGTAGCAGTGAGTCAACTGAAAATGCAACCCAGCTGAAATAAAACTGTAAATAAATCAAGAAATTAAACAACATTACTCAGTACAAAAAGTTAGTTTACCCACTCCTAACTACTTAAGGACATTTTTAATACATTATAATCTCAACTTTTTGGCAAGCATATGAATGTTAATCACTAATTATTCACCAAACTGAATGATCTCTCATGTTTGATTCAGGTGTTGATGAGATTTGCAGTATCACCTTGAAGTACCCAAACCACAAGATAGCCAGCATGGTGACCTGTATTGCAGCTAACAGCAATAATGTGGCCAGCATTGTCGGCACCAAGGGAAGAATTAATGTAAGTTGAATAGAACTTATTAGCCCGATTTCACAAAGGAGGTTTAAATTTAACCCACGGTTTTATAAACTGTAGTTTAAATTTAAACCTAAACCCTGGGTTAAATTTACACCTTCATTGTGAATTGCAAAATGATAACCCATGGTCTAACCCATGGTCTAAAGCAGGTTAACATCATGGGTTAGATTTAAACCTCCTTTGTGAATTGCAAAATGATAACCCATGGGCTTACCCATGGTCTAAAGCAGGTTAACATAATGGGTTAGATTTAAATCTCCTTAGTGAATTCGGGCCAAAGGGTCTTCAGAGTTCGTGCATGTCACTACACTACATATTTGTTCAAAATATGAGCTTGAAATAGTACCTCAAAAAAGTGATATTTCCAGTTTAACACCTCTCAGTTATCATATAAGTAACTTAGTCACCATATAATAAGTAATTTAGTCACCATATAAGTAACTTAGTCACCATATAAGTAACTTAGTCCCCATATGATAAGTAACTTAGTCACCATATAAGTAACTCAGTCACCATATAACAAGTAACTTAGTCACCATATAAGTAACTTAGTCACCATATAAGTAACTTGTCCATAATCTAAATTGATGCACCCATATGTGCTCACATGAAGTAAAACCCAAGATGGACTTATGTTCTCTACACAGGGTCTTATATTATCTTTTAGTTCCCTCATACATCCTATTAAGTTATTAACCTTTACAATGCCAGGTGCATTGTTTAGATTCACTTTAAAGCCCCACTGCACTACTTATAGCTACTTGCGCCCTCTATATAGCAAACAATGGCTATTCGGGCCTGTTGGTCCCCATGCATGATCCTCTTTTTCTTTTGTTAATTGAGAGCTTATTTGATGAGATAACCACCTGTCAGTGACCTTGCAGGGAGGTCTAATCCCCTTGGCCAAACTAGTGCAGACGGCTGTAATATTGTATAGGATGTTGATACAGAGGCTTTGGATAATTTGCTCAGTGTAATTTTTTCTTCTTCGTCTTCAGTTATTAGATAGCTTCCAGGCTCTTAGTAAGCTGGAGTTAGTACGAGGTTTTCCTGTTCCGGGCATGTTTGAGAAAGAAGTGTTTGAGTTTCCTCATCCTTGCTCTGATCGACCCTTCAATTATCCTGGCTCTGTCGGGTTCCAGTACCAAGCTCAAGCGGTCAAGCAGGCCATAGATGAAGGTATGATGATTTTCTTTTAGTTGACTTCTGAGTCCACCCATTCCCATAGGCTTTGACTCTTTACATGTCACACGAATAATCTTTCTAGGCCTATATTCATCAGCTCCAGATGAATATGCAGAGAAATCTTGGTCTTGTTTCCAAAATATCCCGCTATTTGCCAAATAGCAGGCTAATGAGCTAGTTTGTGATGAGCGTATCGGTCTGGTGAAGACGCAATTTCGAACTCCAGGATGTTATCCCAAGTTTGAAAATAGCGGTTTAATTGGCAAACTCAAGCTGATGAAAACAGGCATTCTTTGACATGTTGGATATATTGTGGGATAGATATACTAAAGACTTCCAGTGGAAGATTAATCTACACCGGTGTCAACGGTAATACAAAGTGAAGCCCCTTGCGCTCCAATTTTATTAGCCTGGTCATAGCCGAGTGGCCAAATATGTTGTGCACTGGCTTGTCTGGTGCCCATTTACCAGTATACTTGGGTGGAGGTTGGCAAACTGGATTAATGTCTTACCAAAGGATGTCAGTGCCAGGCTGGGAATCAAACCCTCAATCTTTTGATTAAGAGTGAAGGGAATGACCCACAGCGCCATGACACTACAAAGTATATATATGGGCAGAAACTATGATGGAAAGATCAAAACAATTTTCAAAACAAAGAAAAAAAATTCAAAACCAAAGTAATATACGAGAAGAATAGTGATAGCGACTGTTCCATCATTTTGCCAAATGCCAATTGATTTTAATACTCATTAAAAAAAAATACCCCCTTGTGTCAAATGTAATATGGTGATGCAACATAATTTGGTAAGCTGTGCACTTAAATTTGCGCTCTTGAACTTCTGCTTTTGATATTCATTTTAGTGCTCTGAATAAAAATTATTGAGCTAAATTATTTGTACAATGTTTTGATAATATGCATTTGTAATACTAAATACCTTTAAATGTTATAGTTGAAACATGTAAAATAAATCCTACTCAACACTCAAATTATATAAAATCAAATGTGATTTCAAATTCAATACCAAATTCAATTTCAAATTTCAATTTCATATTGAAAAATCAACTCCTTTTCAAATCAATTTCAATTCAACTTCAAATTAACATTCGGTTTTAATTTGAAATTCAAATTCAACTTCAAATTTACTTTAAAATTCAAATTCAATTTCAAAGTCGATTTCTATTTCAAATTCAATTCCAAATTAAATTTCATTTTTCAATTTCAATTTCAAGTTAACATTCGGTTTTAATTTGAAATTGAAATACTTTTAAATTCAATTTCATATTCAGTTTCAAATTCTATTTCAAGTCGATTTCAATTTCGAATTCATTTCCAATTTCAATTTCAAATCCAATTTCAATTTGAAGCTAACATTTAAATTCAATTTTACTTTCAATTTCACGTTCAAATTTGCAATGCGGCTTGTAGGTAAGACAGAGCATCCCCTCATGCCATGGTCCGAAACCTTAGCCATCCATAAGATCATGGATAAACTGAGACACGATGTGGGATATTACCGACCAGATGAAGAGACAGAAAAGGAGAAATCATTGTTAAACTAGGCCTACCTGTTGGGAGGAGGTTGAGGTATGGTAAAGGGTGGGAAAAAATGTGCAAGTTCGGGCATTCTTTGCATTAAAGAGAAATATTGGAAACGTTTTTCATTATTTAGCTGCAAAATTTATGATCATGACTTTTCCTTGTGGGGCGGTTCTTGTGGAGGCGTAGACTTTCAGAAATTATGGTATGAACAAAAACGTTGGCTATAAAGCCTGCCTCACAACTACATATATTTTCTTGAAGTTTGATTATTTAGGTAAACATTGTTCTGATATACGACCTGGCAAACTGAAATATTTTGACAATAAAAAAACAAAAAAAAAATTGGCAATATTTCAATCAAAGAGAAAGTCTTGCAATATATGTACATCAATGTTGGTATACTTTAGCTCTTCAAATAGATTGATTCATTCTATATAGATTATAAAGGGTTTTGAAGTAATTTTTCAAACTGAAAATTATATTAAATCCAAGCAGGGAAACAGCATTCTAAACAACAGAGGAATCAATAACTCTGAATTCTCCACTTCTTAATACGAACGTGGCAATTCAACAGTACAGTGAAAGTCAAAAGACATTAAATTTTCCTGAAATATCATCCCAACTTTAAAAAAAAAACCTTGAACTTTCTTGATATTCTGATTATAATGATTATTTGTACACACTTTTATGATTTTAAATATATCCTGTATTTTTGCTCTGTAAAATTTTTCACAATCTGGCCATTGGCAGTGAAGATATTTTAATAATAAACAAATTCTAATCATGTGCTTTGTTTATTTTCTGTTCTGTTTGGTACGTTTTCTTTAATGTTAATCATAAGGATTATGTTCAGTCCAGTTCAGTATACTGAATTCGATATAAAATAAATACAAAAGTGAAATAGCATGAACATAAATAGATTATTAATATCATTATTTATTGAACAATCAGACATCATACAATGATTATAACAATCAGATGATACATATCAATTTCATAATACATGCAAACAGTTTTAAGAGGAGAGAGAGAAGGATACAATCTGCTAGTCAGGGCTGACAAAGGCAATTGAAATTGCTATTACTCGAAAGTATGTCAGTCCCAGGGGTATATATATATATATATATACATATATAAATGTTTGAAAGAACTACTTATAGCTGTTTAAACTCTCTCAAGGTTTCTTTGAAGATAGCATCCCAAAATATATATAGCAACACATATAACTTATTGCACCTTGTTTCAACAGAAACCAAACTAATAATAATAGTCACATTTGTACAGCACTTAATACCATGTTTCTAAGCACTTTACATTATATTATTACCCCGGTCATTGGATTCAATTACTAATCTGCTTATGACGGTGCTCCTCTCCCTGTGGAGTATTCTGGCCAGACGCCATTCCTAATACAATAGGAGAAAAAGGTTGATGCAAAAGAAGAGAAATGAAAGAAAATACATGTACGAGGAGAAAGATAACCCTTCCGGGACAGGAGCTATTTTTAGGGCTACATCGATCATGTATTTTTTTTCTTTAAATTTGAAAGTCTTAAAGGTAATACAAAGTTTTTGGGGTCATGAATTTGGTTCAAATGAACATGTTGGAAGCATAAGCGATCCTACAATAAAAGTTTAAATCGAGTCTTAAGTTATGAAATTGTAAATAATTAACTGTGTATGTTGTATAGCTCCCTCTCAAGGTCAAGATATCAATTAAGCTATAAAACGATGTTTCTTGACTAAAATCGACCGATGAGCTATTCCCGTTTGGAAATTATATATCACAACTACATATTCTGAGATTTTCATGGTCGCAGCTTCCATTATACGGCCGTAGACTCTATTTAAAAATTTATCAATATTTACCGGGAGCACTGGTAAATTGTTATATTCAATTTTTCTCGAAGAGGAATTGTTTTAGGGGCTAAATTTCTAGCGCTTATAGTGCATCCACAGGGGCATCCAAATATTTCAAAATTGTAAAGAATCACTATCCACCCAATTTCAAAATTTCCCAAAACTTTGTATTACCTTTAATGGAGTCCCATTTATCTTTTAGTGATACATTAAACCACATACATGGGAAAAATGATGTCAACAACTTGACGAGTTGTAAATTATGATGGAAAAAAGTTTTGAATCCCTGAACTGGTTGCCAACTCGAAAATGTTACGACTTAGTTTTCTTTTTTCAAATTCAATATATTCATGAAACAAAAATAGATTAAGTGTTTACATAAATTTCATGCATCTGCAATATATTTTAGGGCTCTAAATCAAAAGATTTTGGAGCCAAAACGCAAAATGTAGGACTGATTGTCACGAAATAGTTAACAGAGTCATGTCTTACACAAAAAAATGCAATGTCATTGTCATTTGTCACTAAAATAATAAAGGTGTCATACTTTCTAGTAGCTGTTTGCGCTTACAAGTGACAAGCGAGGTCTGGAAACTTGAAAGTGGAAATAAATACAGACCAAAGCGTCAGCCACTCCCATCTTCTTGGACTTGTGCCAGAACGCTTTATATCAGGGGACCATGTCTGACAATGTAACGAACATTTATCGCATGATATTATTGTTTGCTCATCTCTTCAAACCGTTTTCCTTCATTAATGTTTGTTTTTTAAATAAATTTGTCACTGTCACTCTGTCTTTCTCACCGTATATCCTCCAAGTCATTTCTCAACCGCTGATATTTGTATTAGGTCGTTTAATAAATGAACGCCATGTGTGTGAGTGATGTGACTTTTATTCATTGCAACAGTCGTGACATTTTGTTTTTTTGCAGCATCAACATTTTGCCTCATAAGTTCCGCATAGTCTCTGATAATGCTGTTTGAGAGAAAAATGCTCCTTCTCACCTTTAATGTATGCCCCAGTTAAAATCTGAAAGGTCCTCCTTCTCCTTCGTCAATAGCCCTATATCCTTTGTAATAAGTGCCCTTTTTCTTTATTCATAAGTGCCACCATCAATGTGCGAAAATTGCCCCTTTTCACCTCTTCCAATTGCCCTTTTTACTCTGACTCGTGCTCCTTTTCTTTTCTAATTGGTGCTCCCCCTCCCCCAACTTTTGAAAACGTTCGCCACCCATGGTTAAATTGTTGAATTATTTATTTTTTCTTTTGTTATGGGTGTTTGCTTGCTTGCTTGCTTGAATGTTAGACAATTTCGAGTACAAATTTACACCCTTGACAAACTCGATGACTATTTTTATCGTTTTGTGGATCCTAGATCCCTCAGGTTGCACGAACGTTTAATAATAAAAATTTGCTCGTACATTTGAAATCCTTTCTTTACAGAGTTTGATATTCAATATTATATTTCATAAAGTCCACATTTTCGCATATGTTTTAACGGTTCTAGAGCAATTACCCCCGAATACAGTTACCCCCCTCCCCATCGAGTATAGTTAACCCCCCAAACAAACTTAACCTGTTAACTACTGAATTCATTCATTTCCATAGGTATAATACATGGACCACCCGGTTCCAGTCGGCAATGGATTAAAATCTGCTTTTATTAAAACAAACTTATTTCAGGATGGACTTACCCTTAAATGAACAGGGGTTTATTTTCGGAGGGGGGGGGGGGGGGGGGTAATTGTCCTAGGGGGTGATATTTAGGGGTGGGGGTAAATCAATTAATCAAGGGGATGAGTTTCGGGGGGGGGGGGCTTATTATCCAGTGGGTAATTGTCTTGTAAGTTTTTTGTACGTTTCTTATTATTAAATACATATAAATTGAAGACATTGATTAATAGAACAAAAATAAAGCAGATAACATATTTATACGATTCTAGAAATCCCTGCTAAATATTGCAGTGATCACTTATTACATTAAAGCTCATTTCCATTTTCGCGAGTCGGCACTCTCCGTGATTAGTACTCTCTAGCTGAGGCGATGAGCCGTGCTTAATTGATGCAAAGTCATTGTAGACATACGTACTCCACGTGGCATGAAGTCATCAAGTCGATAGCTAATCTTTAAGTCGACAACTTTTGATTTTCAAAGCTTTCGATTTCAAGATTTAGAGAACTGTTCCTCATCTGACGGACAAAACAATAGCATATAATCGGCATTATTTTAATCTTTGACTATGACTTCTAAGCTTTTCGTCGATATATAATTCATATATTAATTGTTTCACTTCTGTCAGGGTCTTTAAGGAAAAACTGATGACGCTCGGTCGGGAACTGTAACAAGATGAATTCTAGCGCGTTTCCTGATAAATGGGTGCCATTGATAGCAGTGGGAACGAGAGACATGATCATCAGTCTGTTCTTCAGTTTACTCGCGGTCATCACACTAATTTGTAACGTCTTTGTGCTGGTAGTCCTCCACCGCGGTCGCAACCGCTTTGACGAAGTCATGCGAATTCTGATTCAAATGTTAGCAATGACAGATCTAGTAGGTGGCGTTTGTTGTTGCATACTGCAGGCTCTCCATCACACGTCAAGGCAGTTTGCAAATTCGGTTATGATCTGTAAACTGGTTCCCTTTGCAACAGTCTACTTGGTGCTTCAGTCGCTCTACATCGTGTGTTTAATTAATCTCTACAGACTTCTTTCCGTTGTGAGACCCTTGACCCAAGTGCGCTACCTGACTCCTAAAAAGGTACGCATCTGTGTTGTAATCGTCAAGATTGCTGTGTTCGGACTTGTCTTGCCTCTGTTACCCTTAACCTGCATGCCTGTTAGTCGCGCATTAGATGCCTACTGTGATCTTAGGCGGAACGACCAGCGGGCGGTGTGGCTCCCTTCGGACGACATGATTCCGAGAATGGCCGGAGCAGTCGGCGCGACTATCATCGCATTTGCAATCCCACTCCTGACTCTCACCGTCACAAACGCAAGATTGCTAATGATCGCCTGTCAAGTTGTGCGCAGGAACGCAAACGTTAAAAGATCCCAAACGCAATGCACTGGTCAAAAGAAAACCACAGACCTGGAATCGGTTAACAGTCAGCGGAACCAACAGAATAATCGTCCGGACACTGGTCAGCATAAATTTCATCCCGCGTCTGGGTTTAAAGGACTCAAGACTGTTATCGTTGTCACTGGTTTATTCTATATTTCGTGCATCCCTTTTTGTATCTTGTTCATAACTGCTTTGAATAACCGTAACATTTTCGAAAATGGTATTGTCTGTATCTTTTTCCTCATGTCTAACGCTTGGTGGAATGGGCCTATCTTTATGTATACATCGAGAACATTTAGAAAGGAGGCAATAAAACTCAAGAATGATATGAAACGCTGGTTAAAAGAGAAGTGTATTGGAGTAGGCAACGAATAATGCACGTTACGTTCAAACGCACCAAATTTGAATTTGAGAGAAACCTATTGGGCAAAATTGATGTATGTTTAAATCGACCCCCCCCCCCGAATTCACAGTTGCGAAGGCATTCGACAATCATCTGAAGGTCATTTTTACTACCCTAATTATTCCATAGAAATCATGATCCTATTCAGTCATTGCAATATTCGCACATTTTAAAAGGTGATTGGCAAGGTTTTAAATTGCCTTATTTTTTTTTTCAGGGGCGGATCCAATATGGGGGGGGGGGAGGGGGGGTAGGGCTGAAATTTGAAAATCACGCTGACGGATATTTCGCTCAGTGGGCAAGGAAGAAGGGGGAGTATTTTTTTAAAAATTCAGGGGGGCCCATTTTCATGTTTTGTTTTTAAAAAAGAGTAAAATTAACGTTACCATTTTTTTTAACCTTTTTTTGCCGGGGGGGGGGGGGGGGGGGGGGGGCTTGGCCCGTCGGCCCTCACCCCTCTCC